TCTGGATTTTTAATTTCTTTTTTATTAATTACCTTCAATAAAAGAAATAATATACAATCAAAACAACGGGATGTCTGCTGCTTCACTCCCCAAACCCCACCGAACTCGTCCCCTCCGTAGCACCGACTAAGAGCCGTCGTCTTCTTCTTTCGGAAGCAACAGATTCCTCACCGTCGTCGTCTTCTTTTGGAAGCCCCCGTCTTCTTATTTTGGATCTCATCGTGCTAGGGACTGGACCCAATTCTTCCCGACGGTGGCTCTCGGCGGCTGAATTAACGAAGTGGTTGGATTGGGTTAAAAATTCTTCCCGGCGGTGGCTTAACGACGGCTGCTACTTGGAGTCTTGATATGGAGAACTAAGGAAGAGGAATAGGGATTTAATAAAATAAAATAAAAAAGAGGAATAGGGGCTTTAATCGCCGGCCTGCTTTATTGTGGGAAGAATTTAATTGCAGGTAGCATGCCTGCTCCGCGAAAGGAAAGAAAAATGGGATTTAATTGAAGGTAATTAATAGAAAAAGAAAATTAAAATCCCCCTAAGAAAGTTTCCAGCAGCGCATGAGTTAATTAATTTCAATGACACATGACGGGCTTCTAGTGGTCGGGAGTACCAAATCAGCATGCTGAGGTGGTACTCCTGGAGCACACAATAATTTCTCGTATAACAAAAAGAAATGTACTCTTTTGCCGAATGTTAATTGGACACTGAGCATTTGAGTTATGTGTTAATTGAATTATTTGTATTGGAATTTCAATATTGTTTAGTGTGCATAGTTGAGATATAATGCGTTTCCATTCTACCATTTCGGTATCAATTTAGTATACTCCCACTAGCAATCATCTCCTTTTATGAATCTAAATTGGTACCATTCTCTCTCTTTAGCTTGGCTATAAGGAGATGATGGGGCCTTTCAAGCAAGCAATCCAACATACACGATGATGTCTCGAGGTAAATTGTCTTTCATAGATGATCCCTTTGTATGTCTTGCTATTTCCAACTCCCATAAAAAGTAGAATAGTGGACCTAATTCGTTAATTTTACGAGCAAGATCTAGTTTCCTTTTGATAGTATTATGCCAATTTAGACATCTCCAGTATGGATTAGCAAAAAACACTATCATGATAAACCGTAATTCATCATTTCCTATTACTGAAAACTACCTGTAGATTTAACCTGAAATTAAAGATTTTTCCCCGATCGGATCGTTGATACGGTTGCACAAAGGCGGGATTCAACCTAACAAGAATGACATAAGCTTGAGAAAGCCACCCACTTTCTTCCTTCTCTAAACGCCACCACCTTCTAAATTGCCTCCTTTCGTCCTCCGGGCCCTACTATAACTATGATCCACGCTCCTTCCCTCCTCCGCCGTCCCTTCTTCTTCTTCTCCTCCTCCTCTCCGCCGCCGGCTCCCGCCGCCTCCTGCATCCTCCCTCCTCCTCCGCTTCTCCGCCCTCACGTCATTTCCAGCCTCGCCAGAACTCCAATCTCTCTACGCTGCTCCGGTAAAGATCATCCCTCCCTCCGCCGCCGCCATTTCATTTTGCATTCTATAGGAGGAGGGCAATTTGGGTATTTAAGTTGGTCAATTTCCCAGCTGAAGCGTGGGCCGTTTGATTTTATTACGCGTCTATATGCTATTTGCTCCGCCGCCCTTTCTTCTTTTACTCTTTTTCTCCGTCGCCTCCGCTTTCTACTTCTTCTTCACTCCTTGGCCCTCTACTGACTCTGGTCTGTGAGCAGCCGCCGACTCACGGTCGCCGTCGAATCGAGAAATGGCCGCACAGCAGGATCCCCGCCTCGCCGGAATCGCTTCCGCGATTCGAGTCATCCCTGACTTCCCCAAAGCAGGTAGCTACATAACCTAGTTTTTTCCCCTTCTTATTCCTATGCATCTCCGTTGACTTAACGACTGATTTTTATTTTTCCTGGTGAAGGGATTATGTTTCAGGATATAACGACGCTGCTTCTTGACGTGAAGGCGTTCAGGGACACCATCGATTTGTTCGTCGACCGGTACAAGGACAAAGGCATCTCCGTCGTCGCTGGTAACTTTGAATTCTCTCCCGTCGACTTGATCTTGCGTTTTTTTCCCCATGTGTATAGGGTGATTTTAGCTTGCATTCATTGCAGTAGCTCGAGAACTGCTTCTCACCATCTGACCTAGAAACCTAGAAAAACTCTCTGGAATTGTAGATAGAAGCTGTTAAGATGCTTTAGATCGGTGCTGTACACTTTTTTTTTGGTCTGGAGTTTTTTACTCCCTTGAAAAAACCATCGCAGTCCCGGGTTGATTAGCAAATTGGGAGTTTCTAATGAGTAACTTGGTGGGAATGTCGGTGTAGACTTTGCCTGTAGGAACTCAGCAGCAAGTTGAAAAAACCTTCAATCTGTGGTTGCTAGGCGGATATTGAGAAACTATGCTAATACAGAACTGAAATTTGATTGCTTCTTGCCCTGTTTCCCCATCAATTGGTCATATCTCGTCTCAACTAGCCCTAAAGATCCTCCTCTTTAGACTCTGGAGATCGAGAATAGCCGATGGTGTAACCTAGTTTTGAATACTTGGGTTGGTATCTTAGTCATTTTAGCTTATCTGTCTAGTGGTTTGATGAAATTAATCAAGATTGTGCCTCACAGTGTATATTACACGGTGCAGGTATTGAAGCAAGGGGTTTCATATTTGGCCCTCCCATTGCATTGGCTATTGGCGCGAAGTTTGTCCCGTTGAGGAAGCCCAAGAAGCTACCTGGTAAAGTTTGCGGCTTTTCCTTGATCTACTGTGTGCAATTGAGCAAGCTCTGTACCGTAGTACCATTAGCGAAGTTTAAACTGATACCCTATTGCTCCCTGGGATTGATACTGAATCATTTTACAGGGGAGGTTATATCGGAAGAGTACTCCCTCGAATACGGAACAGACAAGATAGAAATGCATGTAGGTGCTGTAGAAGCTGGTGAACGTGCACTGATAGTTGATGATCTCATTGCAACTGGTGGTACCTTGAATGCTGCAATCAGGCTTCTAGGTATGTGCTAAGTCTGCGTGAAATCTATGGAGCTCCTGCATCTTAGCTTCATCAGTGTGTATAATTGACATTCTATCTGTCGCACAAAATGACGTCAATCTTGGCATCCCATATATGGGGTTTGTTTTCACTGCAGAGCGTGTTGGCGTTGAAGTTTATGAGTGCGCTTGTCTCATGGAGCTGCCTGAGCTGAAGGTATCGCCGTGCTTGTCTGCCACGATAATGCAATGCCATCTTTTAATCCGTTCGTCTTACTGACATTCACTATATCTTCTATTTATCAGGGTCGTGATCGACTGGGGGACAAGCCTTTGTTTGTCCTTGTGCAGTCTTCTGTTGATGCGCATGATCATCATTAGAGATCTCTCAAGGATGGGGGAAGAGGTGGTGAAGGAACGAGTTGGATGGCAGAGTAAAGAAGGTGTTTCCTTTAACAATAAACGATTTGGCTGCGAGTTTGATGATTTCTGGGTAAACAAGATTGATTCGAGGTTAACATAGTTGATTGAACAGAATGAATGGGATGAATGAATTAGAAGAGGCAGCCGGTTTGAAACTGTCTTCCTGTAGCTTATTATCATACCCGTTTGTTTCAAGAAAGTAGGATGCAATAGGCTGCTTATTGTATCAAAGGCTCAAAGCCATAATATTATTAGATGCTTGGCTCATCTCTTAAGACACTTCAATCTTTTGCTCCATGCTCCCTTTCTCTCTCTCAGCATTGAACCTAAACCTAAACCACTCAAAAGGAGCACACAAATGAACAGATGAGCTGCTTTTTCACCTCATCGCTGAACTGATCATCCGATTTTGTCCAACTCACCATTGTTCAGTGTGTAACCTGCGGCGAAAGATCATCGCCGACAAGCTCTTATGAAGAGGGGGATGTCGGTTCAAGGCAGAAGGAGAGGAGAAGAGTTGTTTGTTCAAGGTAGAGGAGAGGAGAAGTGTTATAAACAACTGGTCCCAATAACTCGATTTGTTGGAATAAGTTTATATATATGAATATATTGTAGCCTCTCGTGTCAAGGTGGTTCTCGACGTCCATCCCATTACATGCCAACTCTGCCCTATTGATATTTTAGGAGGGTTTAAGAAACCCTACCATACTGACCGGTCTGACTGTAAATACCGGATACCGAACCCTAAATGATAGGCGATTTCTAGCAGTACGAAATGGTTGAATCATAAATGAACCACGGTTGTAGTACAAAATGTCCTACCATTAATTTCTCGAATATAACTTCCGATATGGTTTCACAAACACTGGATTTTAACTTTCCATTTGAAGATTGTCTTGCATACTAATACATTACACTAGCAAATTACAAATAGAAAAATAGACTTATATTCAATAGTCACTCCACGACCACGAGTGAACTTCAGCGAAACTACCAGCGAAGAAGCAATGGAGAAGATGGATTTGGATCATAGAATACAAGGATGGCGTCATGGGGGGAATCCTCACACACGCGCCGCCTAGTGGGAAGGCGCTTGTTTTTATATACTTGGACATGAGGCTGAGACTGCTGCTTGTTGTACAAGTCATACAATTTACCAATAAAAAATAAAATTTCCCCACTCCACGAGACTGAACCGCTGCAACTAATAAACGAAACGCGGAAAACAGCGTAGGTAGTACCAGCCACTGTGGAGTTCCACGTAAGTTCCACACCTTAATTACCCATAATACCCCCGTTCCCAGCCCTAGCCAAATTACTTAGCCCCCAAGCCAAGAAAAATCATCCGAATCCGAAGTAGGAACGGAGAAAGAAACGGAAGAAATCCGCGGCTTACCCACAAACACACGTCACTGCCACTTCCACTTCCACCGCCTCACGCTTTCCTTTCCCTTCCCATCTTCCTTATAAATACATCTCCTCGCCAACTCCCAATAATCCACTCCAACAACAAAAAAAACCCCTTCTTCACTTCAGTTTTCAGACAGTGTATTGACATCAGTCCATGACGATGAAGAGATTCCCCGCACCGGCCGCCGGAGATACTCACCAGCTGGACGACGTGGCCAGCTGCTTGATTCTCCTCTCCAAGATCGCAGCCGCCGACAACGACGCCGTCGTTTCCCGGTCCACAACGGCAGCGGGTGGCGGTCGTTTGTTCGAGTGCAGGACCTGCGGGAAGAAGTTCTCGTCGTTTCAGGCCCTGGGAGGCCACCGGGCCAGCCACAACAAGCCCACCAACAAGATGGGCCCGCTCGTGTTGGCGGCGGAGAAGCCCAATCCCAAGACCCACGAGTGCAGTATCTGCGGATTGGAATTCGCCATGGGCCAGGCCCTTGGAGGCCATATGAGGCGACACCGGGCCGCGATGAGTTTGCTGCCTGCGGTGGCGACGATGAAGAAATCCTCCGCCGCCGCCGCCAAGAATCGGGTCACGTGCTTGGATTTGGACTTGAACTTGACGCCGCTGGAGAATTACGACTTGAGGTTGCAGCAGTTAGGGGATGCCCTCCAGATTGTTTGATTTTCATTTTCTCGATTTGTTATCTGATCGATCGCCTCATTTTTTTGAGATCTAGATAGAACAGGTAGCTGGTTAGTTTGGACATATTCATGAACATGGTTCCTTAGTTTTTTGTTTCATATGATTCGATCGAGGAGAGAATGATTCTTTCTGTTCATATCTTATTCATATATGTACTTGATAGAATCCACGGATTTCACTAGTTTCTCTCTCGACTTTATTACGTTCTTGCTATTATAGATAATAGATCAACTTAATTGTTGGGTTGGATAAGCGCGAAACTTTTTCGAGATATAGAGAAGTCTAGTATATTTCAATATTTCATACTTGTAACGAGTGGTACCATATACTTATTCATATAGAAATATTAGTCAAACCGTAGAAAAAAATATTAGTCAAACCTATAATAACGACGATATTATTAAACGCTCCTTTGCTCCTAGCTTTCCTAGTAGTAACACAACGGTGAGATGACCAACTCATAGGTCACATCCCATGAAAAGAAAGCTGTTTCACTATCCGTGTCACTACTTGAGATAACTTTTTCTATCATTGATATGTGGTTCTTCATTTCTTTGGCCTCCAAAGTCCAAACTTGTGCTCCCTTTCTAAGCAAAGCCCAATTGATTGTAAATTCTAAACATGCTAAGTTCTGGACTAAGCATCACAAAATCCTAGAAAACCAAGATTTCCTCATCCTTGCCTATTTTGTGCCACCCTGACAAATTCGTTGGTTGTCTCCCAAAACTCCTATTTTTCCTTCTTATCCCTTTTATGGTGTGGATCATCTGAACTCTCCTCCGCTAATTAAAACCATCAAATAAGATTTTATAGATCTATATATTGGTTGGGTTTTGTGTTGAAACCTATACGCAAGAAATAGGTTATGAGATAATAACCCATCATATCTTCTTTTAACCCTGAGAAGAAAGTCTAGATCTGGGGAATTTGCTCTCTGAGCTTTTCCATTGATGCAAAAGCAATATATATACAGGGTCTACACTAATCACTGTACTTTAACGGCTAATAAAACTAACAACCAAATGAACCTATCAAATCTGTACACGTGTTGCTATCTACAGTAAATTGTGAAAGTTCTTCCGTTATTGAAGTGCTGCGTTCCATTCGTCCTGCACGTCATCGTTTTGTTGTGCATCACTTTCTTTGTCTTGAACGCTGCCGTATTGCTCTGTTCTTCTTTCTTCGATTTGTTCTTCAGTCCAAGAACAGAGCATTTCTCCTTAGCTGCTGTCAAGCAACTCTGTGCTTCTGGAGAATCATCATCATCTTCATCATGCCTCTTTGTTACCCTCCCACAAGCTGGCGAGTATATATCATATACTCCCAGCTTGGACAACAAAGATGCAAATCGATCAACTGAAAGGCTCTTAGTAAAAATATCTGCAGGTTCATCTTCTGTTGGAATATGCTGCAAAGCAATCAATCCTGATTGCACTCTTTCTCTTATGACATGACAATCCACATCAATATGTTTTGTTCTTTCATGAAACACAAGATTTTCAGCAATATGAATAGCGGATTGATTATCACAGAATACCTTAACTGTTTGAGGATGCTCAACTCCAAAATCCTTCAATAATCTGATCAGCCATTCAATCTCACAACTCAAACTAGCTAAGGCTCTGTATTCTGCCTCTGAAGAAGATCTGGATACTGTCTTTTGTTTCTTACTTTTCCACGTTATAACTCCTGAACCAAGAAAGGTACAGTAACCAGTTATAGATTTCCTGGTGTCTGGGCAAGTAGCCCAATCTGAATCACTGAATCCTGTCAATTCAAGCTTAGTATCCTTAGAATAAAGCAATCCTTGACCTGGTGAACCCTTAAGGTATCGAAGGACTCTATGTAGAGCCCTTAAATGCAGTGTTGTTGGGCTATCCTGATATGTACATAGCTGCTGAACTGCAAATGCTATGTCTGGTCTAGTAGTTGTTAGGTACTGCAATTGTCCAACAAGGTGTTTATAACCTGCAATGTCACTCAAAGGAGTTCCTCCTGAAGCAGACAAAACTTCTTTAACATAAATAGGAGTGGCTGCTGGCTTGCAATTTTCAAATCCAGATTCTGTCAAAAGCTCCATGCAGTATTTCCTTTGTGAAACTGTAATCCCTCTAACTCCTCTTGTGACTTCCAGACCAAGAAAATACTTCAACTCCCCCAAATCTTTCATTTTGAATTCTCCCTGCAAGATTCTCTTTGTCTCAGTAATGGATTCCAGACTAACACTCCCAATCATAATGTCATCAACATACACAATCAGTACTACTAATTCTCCAAGAATCTGAGCTGTAAAGATAGAGTAATCTGAGGTACTTTGCTGGAAACCATGCTTTAATAAACTTTCAGTGAGTTTGGAGTACCACTGCCTACTAGCCTGCTTCAAACCATAGAGGGACTTTTTCAAATGGCAAACCTTCCCTTTGCAATCAAAACCTAGATCAAGACCAGGAGGTATTTCCATGTAAACCTCCTCTGTTAAATCTCCATTTAAGAATGCATTGCTCACATCCATTTGATGCAAATGCCAGTTTTGAACAGCTGCCACTGCAAGCAAGGTTTTGACTGAACTTAACTTGGCTACTGGTGAGAAGGTGTCACAGTAGTCAATTCCATACACTTGAGTGTACCCTTTAGCAACCAGTCTTGCTTTATACCTCTCTACTGATCCATCTGAGTACAATTTCACTCTGAAAACCCATTTGCAACCTATTGGTTTCTTGCCAACTGGTAGATCTTTGATCTCCCATGTGCCATTGTCAATCAAGGCCTTCAATTCTTCCTGCACTGCTTTGTTCCAATGAGGGTTCTGCATTGCTTCTTGGTAAGAAGCAGGTTCTGTGTGTGCAGTTAAACTATTTATAAAATGCTGGTGTTTAGGAAGCAAATGAGTATAGGACAGTGCTTTGTGGATAGGATGAGGAATATGGTAGTCTTTGTGCCAATTTGGTGGTCTGATTGTTCTGACAGATTTTCTTAATTGAGCATGGGAAGGAGAATGAGAAGGGCTATTGAGAGGTATTGGTGAAAAGGGGGAAGCTGAAACAGGAGGAGGAGAAATAATGGGGGATGAGTGAAGAGGAGATAAAATGGGAATTGGAGATGAATCAGTATCCTGTGAATCCACAGGCTGTGATTGAGGAGTCTGATTTTTGGAAGGAGAAGAAGGCTGTGCAGAAAAATGTGTTGGAGAAGAGGGAGACTGTGTGCCCCCCTCAGACTGTGGATTCTCATGATGTGTGGAACTGGATGGAGGAGTGTATGTCTGAAAATGGAGGTTAGAAGGTGATGTAGGTAAAGGTGTGAAAGGGTGTGAAGCTGGTTCAGGAATAGAAGAAGGAGAGGTGGCAGAAGAATGGTTTGAGTAGGGAAGGATGGTTTCATGAAAGATAACATCCCTTGAACAAAAAACTCGTTTGCTTTCAAGATCCAGCAGCTTAAAACCTTTGATCCCTGCAGGGATTCCAAGGAAAATGCACTGTTTGGATCGTGGGGAGAACTTTGTTCTATGTGGACCAGCAGTGGAGGCATAAACCAGACAGCCAAAGACCTTCAAGGAACTATAGTTAGGTGGAACTCCATACAGCTTCTCATAAGGACTGATATTGTTTAAAACAGGAGTAGGAATCCTGTTGATTAAATATGCAGCATGGAGAATAAATTCACTCCAGTAAGTGAGAGGAAGACCAGATTGAAATTTAAGTGCCCTTGCCACATTTAAAAGATGCTGATGCTTCCTTTCCACTCTCCCATTCTGCTGTGGAGTGTAAGCAACACTCATCTGATGTTCAATCCCATGATCTCTGTAAAAGTCAGTCATATGGAATTCCATTCCTTGGTCTGTCCTGATAATCTGAACACTCTTGTTGAACTGGTTTTTAACCATAACACAGAAGGACTGTAATAACAGTCTAGATTCATCCTTAGATTTCATCAAATAGGTCCACACACATCTACTTAAGTCATCAACAATGGTCAAAAAGTAATTAAAACCATTATAGGAAGTTGTACTCAAGGGACCCCAAATGTCAACATGAATCAATCCAACAAACTGGAATGAACAGAAGTACTAGTAGGAAATGGTGTTCTTTTCTGTTTTGACAGATGACAAACATCACAATGGAGAAGTTTAGAAACTATTACATCTGGATTATGTTTATGTATAGTTTCTAATCTAGATATATAAGGATGTCCCAATCTGGCATGCCAGATATCAAAACTTTGAGGCTGGAAATTGAGTTGAGAGGCAGCAAGACACTTTGGAGTGGTGGAATGACAACCTTCAGTGGAGAATTTGGTGTCATTGAACAGGTAGAGACCCTTATCCACTTGGGCTAAACCAATCCTCCTCTGTGTAATAAGGTCCTGAATCACACAGAAAGAGGATTTAAAGAGAAGTGAGATGGGATTGTTTTTTGGTGAGTTTGCTTACTGAAACAAGATTGTAGCTAAAGCTAGGAACAAATAGGACTTGAGAAAGAAAAAGTCCACAGGGAAGTCTAACTATCCCTATGTGTGTGGCCTGGACCTTATTGCCATTTGGCAAGTTAACAAAGACACCTTGCAATGTCTTATACTTCAAGTAGTACTTCAGATCACAAACTATGTGATCTGTAGCACCAGTATCAAGAACCCATAATGGTTCTGTTGTGCTGGCCAAAAGAGTAGAGAGGACAGTTGTACCTGAACTTGATGGCAAGTAAACTGGATGATATTGAGAAGTTCCAGAATGAGCAGGTTGCTGCTGTTGGCTGGTGATTGTGGCATTGGCAGCATGCCTAATTGATGGAGAGGTTGGTGGTGAGGGAGAAGATTGAGGAGGAGGTGTCCCAAGAAGCAGTATCCTCAACCTTTCCATCTGATCATTAGTGAGTTGCAAACTGGCCAGTCCTGAACCAGCAAGGCCTGAAGAATTAGGTCTGCCAGATGCATCATGAACTGCAGATGCTGCTCCAAGGATGCTAGAGTCTGCATCTGTCCCAGTTTCCACTGAACCAGCAAAGCCTGAACCACCAGCTTCTCTACTTTTCTTGTTTTTCAATCTGTAACATTCACTTATAATGTGGTTTTCCTTCTTGCAGTACCTGCAAAATTTCTTGCCATCCTTATAATCCCTGATGTTAGAATTAGAATTCTGTCCTCCACCAACAGCCAAAGCCACAGACTCCACTCCTTTGGTCTTATGCACACTCTTCATCTGACGTTCCAGTTGCAAGATTTGTTTAAAAACAACATCAATTGGTGGCAAAGTGGAGTTCATGAGAACCTGGGTTCTGGCAGACTGATACATATCATTCAACCCTTGCATAAACTTGATCACAAAATCATTATCTTGATATCTTTTCATAGTTTCATAAGGACCATTACAAGGGCAAGTGGGAATCGGACGGTATTTCTTGTATTCTTCCCACAAAACAGTAGCATTGGTAAAGTATTGACTCACTGATTGTTCTCCTTGAACACATTTACCCAATGCTCCATTCAAATCATAAACCCTAATATTGTCCTCTTGACTAAATCTGTTCTTCAGATTGTCCCAAACAGCTCGAGCAGTTTCCAAACCCATGACACTATTTGCTATATCCTTAGCCAAAGAGTTATAAATCCAACAACGAATTGTTCCATTGCAACGGAGCCAAGACTGGTAAGTGGGTTCTGTTACATGTGGAGTAGGAATAGTACCATCGATGAACCCAACTTTGTTCTTGGTGGCAAGAGCTACGAGCATCACTTGGCTCCATGTGTGATAGTTGCCGTCGACGAGCTTCACAGAGATGATGGTAGAAAGAGCTCCATCTTGTGGCGGAAGGTAATATGGGTTGAGGTAAGGATCGTCATAGACTGAACTTGCAGAAGCAGATGAGGTTTGTGTTGATTTTCCTGCGGATGATTCATCACCCATGTTTGCTTGAAGAAATTGGTTTCAGAAGAAGAAGATGAAAGAAGAAATGGACAGGGGACGAAACCCTAGCACTGGTGAGAGCAACCAGGCTCTGATACCATGAGAAGAAAGTCTAGATCTGGGGAATTTGCTCTCTGAGCTTTTCCATTGATGCAAAAGCAATATATATATACAGGGTCTACACTAATCACTGTACTTTAACGGCTAATAAAACTAACAACCAAATGAACCTATCAAATCTGTACACGTGTTGCTATCTACAGTAAATTGTGAAAGTTCTTCCGTTATTGAAGTGCTGCGTTCCATTCGTCCTGCACGTCATCGTTTTGTTGTGCATCACTTTCTTTGTCTTGAACGCTGCCGTATTGCTCTGTTCTTCTTTCTTCGGTTTGTTCTTCAGTCCAAGAACAGAGCATTTCTCCTTAGCTGCTGTCAAGCAACTCTGTGCTTCTGGAGAATCATCATCATCTTCATCATGCCTCTTTGTTAAACTCTTGATAGGAAACAAATAGAGGTTGCATTTTGTATCAAATTCACCAATTCAATTAATTCACTTAATATTCAACTAATCCAATTTATTTTATCCAAATCCAATTGAATTGAATTCATGGATTGTTGGTAAATTAGAGTTGAGTACCTATTTTTTTTATATTTTATAATTTGGTACCTAAAATATATTTGTTTGGGCAAAGATATCATTAAAAAAATTTATGTTTTGGTGCTTAATTTTATTATGACATTTTAGTACCTAAACTTTATAAGAGTTTACATATTAGTCCAATATTTTAGATACCATTTGGATCCATGATCCAATCCACGAATCCACTAATCTATATGAACCATAAATTCACCAATACAATCCACAAATTCATAAATCCAATTATCACCTCTAGAAACAAGCATATAAATTATTGTGGTTAACTGGTTATATATTTCCTCAAGCAACTGCTTTTATATAGCCATATAAAGAATTAGCTGATATTTTCCTCATAATATATATTGTACATCATTCAGAAGTACATGTATTGGGTCTCCACATTTCTGTGCAAAAATTAAATCGATTAAAATTAGCCACACCAAAAAGAAAAAGAAAAAAAAAAGAAGTATGCAACAGCTGCCCACAAATAATCGATCAACTGTTCATAGAAGAGTAGAGAGCTTCTGGTTCAACCCAACATCGACTCCATTGTAAGCAATCGGTGCGTACATCCACAGCTCATCAGAGCTCAGTAGCTGCAATTCAAATTAGGGGGGAAAAAAATATATATATTAGAGATGTGTCATCATCCAGCTAATAATCAGTCATTAATCATCTCTAATCAAGAACATTAATGTTAGTTAATCACCTTGATCTGGAGCTGCAAGTACTTGACATAATGAACCGCCTCTTCCAGCATTGTGCTGATATCCACTTTGGTCCCGTTGGGCACCAAAGTCTGCAGCATCCTCAGCCTCTCGTTGATCCTCTCTCTCCTCTTCTGCAAAAATTAAACAACATAATTAATCATTAGCTTAAATATCCCATCACCATACACTAGTAATTAATCACCCTCCTTGAATCCAGATTCAAACTAAATATATAGTAGTAAACCAAATCGATCACTTACTCTAGCGTAGAGGCTCTGAGGGTCGGTGGCTGATCCTCGGCTGGCTTTCGATGACGGCTTCTTAGCAACGAGTTTGGAGGAGTCTCCATTGTTGTTCGAGCATTCCATCTCCTCCTCGGAGTTACAACTGCTCGAGCTCTGCCCACCGCGTCCAGAGTTATTGTAAGCCACATTGTTGTTGTTGTTGTTGTTGTTGTTCATCATGTTGCTAATGATTTCCTCGTCGCAATTAGGGCTAGACGATCTTTGGCACTTCCTCTTGCTTTGGGGGATTTCGGATAATTTCAGGTTATCGAGTTTTCTTTTGAACTGCCATCCCATGGAAGGAACGAGGGCTGGAGCCTGATCGAACGGGAAAGGGACGCCGTTGCTGATGGACATAGGGATGTTGCTGTAGTTGGCTGCTTCGTCATCAACATTGAGAAAATGAGCAGCAGGATCGAATAGTGGGCTGTTGTTGCCGCTACAGTCAGTGCTGCTGTTGGTTGTAGTTGTGGTGGTGGTGCTGTTATAGTTCATCATCTCCATCGGGGCAAACGAGCAGAGAAGACTCTGGTGATGAGTAATCACCTCGTCCCCCATGGCTGCCATCATCATGTTGTCCTGATGATGATAACTACTCACAAGCTCTTGAGAGTTGAAGCCATGGTGGTGGTCAGCCTCCATCGACAAGTATGAACTAAGGTTGAATTCTGCATCAGGGAATGCTGCCAAGAACTCCATTTTATCTTTGTTTATGTGTATTTGGAGTGAAGCAGGAAGAGAGGAGCTGAAAATGGAAGCTTGATTTTGTGGGTTCTGGATTATTGATGAGTGTTTTGTTTGTGTTTTGGAGCTATGAGACAAGGGATGGGTTTAGGTTATATATATACAAGGGAATGTTGCTGGTGGAAAAGGGGAGGGTGTGAGATGTGGGGAATTTGACTTCTGACTTGTATGAGATGTGGGGGATTTTGTTTTATATTTTATTGTTGTGTTTTTTTTTTTATATAAAAATATTCACAATCATTCTGTAGGGTAGGTCCCAATTCTCTGTAACTGAACTCCAGGAGTCCACCCAAGGACAACTAAGATGGAAGGACCCCCACTTCATGGAATTCTATATCATGGATTATTTCATAACTAATCTTAATTAGTGGAAGGTAATTAAGCAAAGCAAAAATAGGATATGGGGACTAAGGGCCATTTGCTTCATGGATTTGGAAAATAAAGGTTTGGGTAAAATTTGGGTTTTGTAAAACCATGGTTGTATGAAGGTTTTGGGTTCATTATGGACTTGTAAAATACCATTGTTTGTTTCATTGATTTCATGATGGATTTGGTTAATTAAATTTGTGTGCAAGAAGTGAAAATGACCTAAATTATTCTCATTGGTATGAGATGAGAAAGATAAAAGGAGGGGTAGTTTGGTCATAAATGATGGACTTCAAAGTCCATGATCAAGTGATCACCATCACCTTAAGAGGTGGAATTTTCAAGTCCGTGGAATCCATGGATTTGGATCTTTTAAAGTCCATGGGGCTCACGGATTTGTTGCCATCAAATACATGAAGCAAACAATAGAGTGAATAGACTTTGGACAAAGTCTATGATAGATCCAAATCCATCAAGCAAACGACCTCTCAATACAATTCATTATGGATTTGTCCCGAAGTCATATGTTTTTGGTGGAATGAAATTCATGGGGTCCAAGACTTTAAGGGTTCAAATTCGTGAATCCCAAGGGCTTGCAAATCCCATGATTAAAGGTAAAATTTGTGTGAAGGCTAAAAATCTTTCATGCCAACAAATCTAATGAAGTGAAATTCATAAACAAAATCCAATAAGCAAACAATGGACACTTTCAAATTCATAATATATATGATTTATAGTTATAACTTATATATCAACTCACTCTAGGCTCCTCTTAGAGACACCAAGATTATGATTTCTTGTTCTGGCGAACAAATAATAATGACGAAAAATCCATCATAAAGCTAGGATTTCTCAAAATCCAAATTTTACAAAAACCTTAGTTCTTCAAATTCATGAAGCAAATGATACCCAAGTATTGTATACTAATACTTATAACAGGGTACTTAATAATTAGGTAGAGAGAGCCAAAGGGTTATCACAATAGACTACAGTACTGCTGTACTAATGATCTCCACAATTAATTATCTTGTTATAAGTACCACCTGATCATGACTTATGACATTATGGAGAGAGAGAAGAAACAGAGAGAGAGAGAGAGAGAGAGAGAGAGAGAGAGAGAGAGAGAGAGAGAGAGAGAGAGAGAGAGAGAGAGGGAGAGAGAGAGAGACTCTCTAAGGACCTAATTATTGGGAGGTGGTCATCTTCTATTTGGGTTAAGTAGTGTATTCCCACCTGTACTAATTATTCAATAGAACCAACGTTTACTTCCCAGTTAGGCAAATCACAATCACTAATTATGGAGAGATGGAGATAGCTAGCTACCATGTGGAGGCTTAACACTACTGCTTGAATCATCCACTGATCCTCATCTTTGTTGTCAATCAGGGGCGGAGCTAGGATTCAATGTTCGGGGGTCGGAATTTTTTATTACGTTACTTCAAAACAACGATAAAAAGAATAAAATATATTTTTAATATTATTATACCCAATATTTAAGAAGATTTGAGGAAATTGATTATTCAACCATATAAAACCTAATTTTGAAACTAAAAGACTTAAGAACCACATTGAAACCGAAATTAAAAGGACCATATAATTAAAATGGATGAGAAATTATTAAAACTGAAAATAAAATTAAAATAGCAACAAAATATGCTAGGTATCGAACTCATTACCTGAAGATAGATTTACCATAATCTCATCCGCTAGACTAACTTGCTTTGTTTTGCCATATTTGCACATTAAGTAATAATATTATCTTCTTTATGTAATACGAAATTTCCAAATACCGATACAATTTATACGTAACTTTCAAATTCTCGGGGGGCCGAGGCCCCCCCGAGACCATGTGTAGCTCCGCCCCTGTTGTCAATGTAATTATCCATGTGGAGGCCTTTTCAGACAAACTTTTATCTCAATGTAATTATCGACAGACCTTTAATTTTCTCAACTATAAAGCCCTACTAAGAGAGGATGTATACTTGTGAACCTATCTAGAGTTCTAACCACCAAATTATATTATGTCTAATATTCCATCCAATGCATATGATATGTGGATATTAACAAATCAAATCAACCCCATATTTACATAATTCAACAATAGTATTGTGAAATGTTTAAGGGAACTTTGTTGGGATGATGAATTTAAACCTATAATTCTTCTTCTGAGTTCTAACCTTCTAGATGATCTATCTAACACGATAAACATTTATTGGCCGAATCGAAAACTGTCCAAACAAGCAATTGGAAGGACATGTCATACATAAATATGCCTCCTCTAACAACTCAAATGCCAACCATTGGAAAGGACAACATTAAACCCTACCTAAGTTGGTAATTAAGGTAGAGCATGCGCTTATTTGAAGATGCCAGAACGTGGGAAGGGTCTCTCTTGATAGTTTATTATTGAGTAGTACTTAATAAACAAATACAATCATTCTCAATAAACCAAATTATTGATTAAAGAAACCAAAGGGTTCATTCTATTCTATTATTCTGTATGTTTGGAGAGGAAATTTTCAATAAACAAAAACGCGGCTACCCATCGTGGCAGTGAGTCTGCAGGCTTTTGATTATAAATTTTTTAAAATAAGTCAAGAAAGAACAGAGATAGGGGAAAAAAACGTCCGACAGGTTAACCGTTGAACTCGCTCCTTGTCGCCCTACATTGCGGCTCAAACCTAACCACTGCTCCTCCTCCCTCTCCTGGAATTAAACCCTAGTTCCAAGGAAGAACTCGTTTTGGGATGTATTCAGTGGATCCAGCCAGCTAGCTTCTCTCATTTACTCGCAAATATTAAAATACAAAGGAAGAGGTAGGCTCTTATTAAATTTTTATTTTTATTTTTTTGCAAAGAGCCTCCTAATTTGTACAGTGATTCTCACCGCTGGCTGGTTGTGTATCAAATATGAATACATTAAGGTGGGTTGGAAGTTGGAAAATCCTGAATGCATTTCAGCATTTGGACATTAGATGTGCACCTGTTCCCGTGGTTGCATATTATTTGGCTTTTTTTTTTTCAACTCATAACTCAAAGGCCTAATTACTAGCTAAGTCTCCATGTATATTAGGAAGACACTATGTTGCAACATGTTGATTAGGAAGCCTTCAAACTGTTTCGAGATACAAATTAAACTTGAGTTATTGGGAGAAGGTTATTATGGATTTTATATCACACTCTTAAACGCCCCTTCAAACGAAAGCCAACACACGGGCTTGAAATTTGCACAGGCCCAACATACCTTGTGCTTTAATAAATTGTTAATATTATGGTTCGTGGAGATTCGAACACACGACCACTTGGTCAAACCATCTCTCAATGTAGTCAAAATCGCGTTTCTACGCGTTTTGGTGATCTAGAAGCGTAAAACCGTAAGCTTTTAAGCTTTAAAGCGCGTTTTTAACTACAATAGTTATAAAAGCGTAGATTTTGCGTAGAATCGTTTTAGTGACCTAGAAACGTAAAAGCGTAATTTTTAAAACTTTAAAGCGCGATTTTGACTACATTGCCAGCTCATATACCATATCATAATTAACTTTGTTGTTCCCAATAACTCGAGTTATTGGGAGAAAGTTATTATCGATCTTATACGATACTGTTACATTAAACATAAAGTTCAGCTTGTACTGTAAAAGAATTTGTACAATCATTATAGTACAAGTTCAGTTTGAACCATAACATAAAGATACAAATTCAGTTTATACCTTAAAAGCATTTTTACAAAAGGTATAGGTACGCACTGAATTTGTAATATAGCGTTAATGGTACAAATTCAGTTGTGACATAAATATTTTTTTTTATAAACCAAACACCGATACTATAAAGCATTGTAATTTCTTGTTGTTTAGCTCATTGATAGTACAATCTGAATTTATATGATAACGTTAAAAATATAAATTAAAAAGAAATTTTTTTTTACCAAAGCAACTGTACTACCAAACATTGTAAATTCCTCCCCAAATAAATCATTGATGGTTTGGGTATCTTCTTATTTTAACCCTAATACTTTAAATTAAAATTAGGTGCCATATAACCGTAATCCCCAAGAGGACATATTATTTTTCCTTC